TATATATATAAATGCATGTATGTATGTATGTATGCATGCATGTATGTATGTATGTATGTATGTATGTATGTATTTATGTATGTGTATGTATCTATGTATAAAAGTTTTACATTTCATGAAAGAACTGATACATAAGAAACTGCACAGCTTCTGCCGTCTAATCTTCATTTTCAAGTTAGTTTTACTAAGTACGACACTTATTGGTTAGTTTTTGGCCAACTCTGTTTCATATTCTATTTCTTTTTTTCTTTTTTTTTTGAAGAGCAGCTAAATCAATTTTCTGTCATTAAATCCATGATGAGTCAGTTCATCTGTTGAATTTTCATAACTTTATTTTTGCCCCAAACTTTATTTGTAATCTAAAATATTTTTACATACAACTTAATAATTTGATTTTTATTATTATTTATGTAATTATTATTTATTTAATAACTATTATTATTTCTATTTATACTTAAAATTTTTTAACAGGATATATTCTCAGGAGCGATTCTACGGGGAAGGATGTGTGTGAGTGGTGGGGGTAAGGGGAGCGTCCTTACCCTCAAAGAAAGCGATTTCTTTAGGAGTTACAGTCGGTTTTTCAAAGAATATAGTTGACTAGTCGGGTATTTGGCACATTTGAATCGCTTTCTTTTAGTTTTGAGGACTTTTTTTTTAGTTTTTTCAGTCAGTACTTTTAAGGATTCCCCGGCGCCCCTTTCTCTCATTTTTTCCCTAGAACCACCAATGTAGATACTAATTATTAGTAATATATCTATACTATCAGGCCTTTTATAATTTATGACAAAGTTGACATTGAAAGTTAGAAATTTTGGAGATATAGTGAGACTTCCCCTCCTTCTCCATTCTTTCCATTCTATATTTTTATAACTTTTGACGGTAACCACTGATGTTTTACAAAATAGCAAAATTCTCCATTCTTCAACATTCTATATTTTAATAATTTTAGACAGGTAACCACTGGCGTTTTCAAAATGGCAAAAATATCACAGATAGTAATCATCTCCTACTTTGTAGCGAAATTTTACATTCATCATATTTTAAACCAGTGCACAGTGGTCTAGAGGCTAAAAGGTCAAAACCAAAGGTTGTATATTGAGTTTTTTAGCTATTTGCATTCGATACGCGTATTATATACGTACATATTATATACGTACAATATATTTACGTTTTTTAGCAATTTGCAATCAATACGTGTACTCAAATTACAAAGAATGTTAATTTTATAATGCAGTTGATCAGTTTTTTACACCTTAAGCTCAAACTCAAAAAGTTGTTAAAGTATGTGCAAAAAATGGAAATTATTTGAAATCATTGCTAATACAACTGAATTAATCTATTCTTTTGGAATTAAAATATTTTTCTTTTTTATCAATCTGCTTTTTCAGTAGATTGATAAAAAAAAAACTAAAAAACATGTAAAAACATTTTTTTACAATTGTTCATGCAAAAAAAAAACTTTTTAATATTGTATTTAAGTGCTTGTAATACCACGATTGATTTAATTGTTTGTAGTACCACGGTGTAGTACCACGTATTTGTAGTATCACGAAGTATTTAAGCGTATGTAGTACGACGGTGTATTACCACGTGTTTGTAGTATCAGGATGGGCTTAACAGTATGTGTTACCACGGTGTAGTACCACGTGTTTGTAGTATCACGATGGGTTTAAGTGTATGTAGTACCACGGTGTAGTACCACGTGTTTGTAGTACCACGATGGAATGGAGTTAGCTAAAAAGCAAACTTAAGTTCTTTAAGTAATATTTGGTAAAAAGATTGTTTACATCAACTTGAAGCTCCGGTCGCAAAAAGGTCGTCTTCGGCATATTGAATAAACTGTACAATATCAAAATGAGTTTTGAATTTTGCATGGTCATAACATTTAGGCTCTAAAAGATTATTCAATTAAATTTAAATCATGTGGGCGAGTTTAAAATTAGTATAAGATAGTAAAAACAAAATTAACTACCCAGTTAACCAACCCAGCTGGGATTGACTGGGATTACTGGGATTGGGTTCGGGCTGGGATTTGTTCTGGGTGCCAGAGGGTCCCATATGGTGTAAAAATATTGCCGCTAATTAAGTCTGAGTTTTTACTGGGGCTTCCGTAAATAGTTTACGGCTGGTTTAAAAATGGGACGCGTAGTTTAATGGTTGCGTGTATTTCTATTCAAAGCAGTTTTTTTTGGGTAGGTACAATCGGCAGAGCAGAGCAGATTGGCAGAGCAGATCAGTTTTTCAGCAGACGTTTTTCTTATGAAATAAAATTACAAAACTACAATGTTAAATTTTTTTTTAAATAGTTTATATGGCTTAGTGTGGTTACAGTAATGGCTTAAGGCCGTTTCCCACAAGACGAAAAATTCGCGCGAAGCGAATTTTTTCGCTACGACGAAACGCTGTTTTGATTTCCACTTACTTTTTTTCGCACTACTTTTTTTTCCTTGTCAACAATAAAAATGGCAGCAGTAAGTTTACGCTGTATGTTTAACTTAAAGCAGTTAATACTTTTTTAGCATACTTTCTACTTTGAAGCATGTGAAAATTTCTTTCCGTGCATTAATATTAACATTTCTGCCTTTATATGTAAGATGTGATATTATTTTGTAATATAATCGTTTAATATAAGGTTTTTTTTACAAGAAAGTATAAGAAAATAAATGCTAATTCTGATATGAACATTTCTATTAAAAACTATTACTGCAAGAACGAACAGCAGGTTTAACTCTATAAAGAATTTTTCACAAAAAGGTTTATCTTCGTGTGGCCACTTGAAGATAAACATTCTTATGAAGTGTAACTTTCGTAATTGATAGTGTGAAAATTTATATTTGTAAATTTTCGATTTAGTTTTATATATATATATATAAGTCTGAGTCATTTTTTTATGTAAGTCTTGCCCCTTGTTTGATAAATTTACTCATGCTAGCCAATCTTCAGAGTAAGTTCATATAAAGTTAATAAGAACGCCAGGTTAAAGCCCGTTCTCCATTCAGAACTTTTTGCGCTTTGGAGGAGCGGAAAAGTTCTTTGATCATGCGCAAAAAGTTCTGATTGGAGAACGGGTTTAAAAAAACTGTTTGCGCATGCTCAAAGAACTTTTCCGCTTCTCTAAAGCGCAAAAGGTTCTGAATGGAGAACGGGCTTAAGAATTTTGTTTTTTGTTACTTTAAAAACAACATGTTTTCGCTTTTTTTAATGTTGACATCACATGATATAATATTCAAAATTTTATTGGTTTTCGCTTATGGCGATTCGCAAAAAGTCGAAATGAATCCGACTTTTTTTTTCGCTGCAGCGAAACGCTGTAACGAAAAAAAATCAGTATAATCGCCAAAAATGTTTAATCTGCGCATGCTTAACGACGAAAATATTCGCTTCGCGCGAATTTTTCGTCTTGCGGAAAACGGCCTTAAGTGTGTTTAATTTTAATGTTTTTTTCAAAAAAATCTCATAGACTTTTTGAAAAACCTTTGAATTTGACAATGACTGTGACAAATATTATTTACAAAGTTTTACTATGTAGCACTGCCGTACTTAAACTTTACATATTATTTATTTTCACATGAATCATTTAATAAATGTTTTATGTATTTATAAATAATATGCAGTTTTACAAATTTATGAAAAAAATTAAAATCATCCATTTATTAAATGTAAGATTTTACATATTTTATAAGTAATATAGTTAATATATTTCTCATAGTATAAGTAATATATTATCAAATATATAACTTATAGAAAATGTTAAATCTTACATTTATATTATGCATTTATAAATGATATCTAAAGTTTATATATAGCAGTGTCATTTAGTAAAACCTTACTAATAGTCATATTATTACTTTAAAAAACATAGTAATATTATGTTTTTTAAAGTGATAATATTTATAATTTGAGTTATATTAAAATATTATAACTTTAATTTTAATTTGTAGTATAAGGGTTTTATATGAAAAAATATTTAAATAATTTATATTGTAAATTACTTGTAAATAATAGTAATTAATAATAAAAATGATAAACCGCCCAGTTAACCACAACAACTGGGTCCCAGCTGGAATGTTACTAGATTATTGGAACTGAGTTATGGCTGGGATTTGAACTGGGTAAAAGAAGGGTCCCATATGGTGTAATGATTGCGGCAAAAATTATACTTGAAAATATGATAAAATCTTTTAAAATGACATATGCAGTAACACAGATTGATTTGGACTGAACATACAATTGCATTTAAAGTGAACAGAAACTTAATTTGGTTCTTTTTTAGTATTTTTGTAAAAAATAATTATTTACATATCAGTTTTAATTTATTATAAAAATATAAATATTTTTATAGCAATATTTAGATATTCATTTAACAAACGATTTTACAAAAAAAAAAAAAAAAAAAAAAACATGACATACTCTTAATACACTTCTTAAATGTGAATTAACATACTTCTTAAATGCTATAAATTTCATAACCATTATTAAGTTTGAGAGTATGTCAATGTTTACTTTTTTACAGACTTGTAAAATGTTTTATCAAACTGAAGACATATTTTTATTTTTTTATGCAATAGACAAATGTTGAAAATTTTTCAAATTAGTTTTTATGGTTTGGTGTGCTAACAGTTATGGCTTAGTCACGAAGTTACAAAAATGAAATACACTAAGTTTGTGTGTTTCATTTTAAATTATCTTTTTCAAGCAAGTCTCAATGACACTTAACAAAACATGCTAAGGTTTTACTAAGTAATACTGCGTTATCTAAACTTTACATATTATTTATAAATACATAAATGTTTTACATTTTCTATAATTTATATAATTAATAATATAATACTTATATTATAAATACTGTGACTGATATTATAAGTTATAATATAAGGTTTTGTATGAAAAAATGTTTAAATTATTTATATTGTGAATTATTTGTACATAATAGTAAGTAATAACAAAAATTATTAGATGTTTTAACGTTTAGCTTTATTTATCTGAAGTAATAAAAAAAATTATCACATTTTGTTTGAATATATTTATTTGTTAAATAAATTTTTTAATTTTTTAAAATATAAATATTTATATATATTTTTATAGCAATATTCAAACATTTGTTTAAGAAACAGTTTGGCTAGTCTAAAAGAGGTAAATGTTGAGTTTTAATGTTTTAAGGTATTTTTTAATTATCACAGGATGTTATATAATTATTTTAGAATATGTTCTGAAATAAATTAAATATACTATCATAAAATGCTACTCAAGTGCAATATAAAAATGAAAATGTAGTTTTGATACTAAATATTGCAAATACTTAATCTTTCAATAATCATGAGTGTTTTGTATTTTTCACTTGCTATAGTAAGTTAATTTCATTGTTTCATTATACGATATCATATAGTCATATATAATATGTTTATTTACAAAGTTATAAAAAAGATATCAAATTTTTTTGGTAATAAATTTTTTATCTATGTTATTTTTGTATACAACTTAATTAAATTTTAAATTTTGATAAAACTTTATTGAATTTATTAAAGAGGTTAAATAGTATCTATGTTTTGTTTTTAGAGTTGGTTTGTGTTGATTTATGATTAACAACAGAAAATGCATTACTTCAATAAATGTTAGTTTTTTACATATTAGTTATATAATCTCCTATGAAATGGTTCATCTAAATCTAGTAAGTTAACACTTAATCTGACAACATTATTTTGAATATTTTTGTTTCAGAAAGTTCAGAAAAGTTTTACTTTCCCCGAGTTTTAATATCTCAAACTATTAGTTTACAGAGTTTGATAAAATAAATAAACAGGGTTGCCACTCAACCTGGAAAACCTGGAAATAGCATGAATTCCAGGGAAAACCTGGAATGCTCAGGGATTTTTTAAAATTTTTATAAAATTCAGGGAAAACTCAGGGAAAATAATTTTGTACAGTAATTTTGTTTTTCAAAATTTTTTTGCTAATACATATAATAATAAGTTTGCTAGTTGTGGGTGTTGTTGTAAAAGTTTTAGTTTGTCAAGTATAAAGATTGTGTTTAATTAAGGAAAATAATAATCTCGTTGATGAACAGGAAAGAATATAGAAAAGTCAGGGAAAACTCAGGGAACTTTAAGAGTTCAACTCAGGGAAAAACGTTCTTTACTCAGGGAATACTCAGGGAAAAACTTTAAAAATTATCATGGCAACCCTGATAAAATAATTTCTATATATTTTTAATATATAGAATTTGCAAAATATACAGGTTTTTCGTAATATTGACCTGGGCTTCTGTGAATGGATAAGTTCTGTGAATAGAAGATGGACTGTGAATCTCTAGGAAATGTAAATGTTATTATGATAGCATATATTTTTAGTTCAAGAATACATTATTTTCATTAAAAGTTTATGAATATATATGATAAAAAACATTTTTAAAACTGCATATACAGTAGTGTGACATAATTTGGAATAAATATACATTTAAAGGATTTTTCACATAAACTTCATTTGGTACCTCAATGGTAGTTTATTTTTATTTTCATTTATCTGTTGATTAGTAGAATAATATGTACTAATAATAATATTTATATATAGTAAAGTGTGTATGTTATTCATGCAATATGATTTCAATATTCAATTTTTTAATAGTTTAATGGCAGCATGTATTGTCATCAATACATGCTGCCATTGTCACAATGTAGTAAAGTTTAAAAATTATCTATGTATAATGATTTTTTAAAGCAAATTGTTAGGGTGTTATATTTTTTAGAATCTACTTTGAAATAAGTTTAATATATAATCACAAAATGTAGCTCTAAGACAACATGAAATTAAACAATAAATTCCGGACCACGATAATTGAAATATGTTATGTTTGACTAATCATCAATATAACTATTGTATATAATAATATAAGTACTCTACACTTGTTTATAATTGTAAATTTTCATTGTGAAAATAATTTTATTACAAAATTTATTGTGGTCAAAATTTCAATTGTTTTTAATTTTTTTCAATATGTTTAAATTGTAACAAATAATTATTTTCAAGTAATAATATAACCTAAAATGATTATTGTTTAATTAGGTACAATCAAAATGTTAGTGATATTGATTATTTTTGCATTTATTTAATTATATAAAAGATATAATTATCTTTTATATAATTAAATAAATGCCCTCACCAACTGATTTAATGGTTTGATGTCAGGTTAACTTGAGTCAAGACTTTAATTTTTAAATGGTAACATAGTATTCATGTTATATTATTGTTGTTTAAAAGTCTATTTATGTTATGCCTAAATATTAACATCAATTATTTACCATGAAATAACATTGTTTTAGATTCCCTGCAGGATGCCTGTTAAAAAGAAAAACTGAAGAAACTTTAAAACTAGATGATGCCAACTAAAGAAGTTGAAACACCGTTATTCATGGTGTCATATCGAGGCTTCAGTTCTCCAGTATTTATTTTTATATTTTATTATATGTTATGTTTATTTTATTTTTTATTTTTGCTATTTTTGTAACAACAAATTATGTGAATAATTAATTGTCCTGCCCTGGGCCTCTATTTCAATCTGGCTATTATTATAAAACGTATATCGATTTATATATTGTATTTAGTTAGCTTATGGTTTGTACGTGTGTTTTTGTTTACGTAGTGTTTGTTAGTTATATGCAAGATATGGCATGGTATGACACACTGCATGGTATGCCCTAAATAATATTATTAATAAATATCTTTATCTATACTTTGTAAATATATATGCTATAATTTATTATATTATTCAAATGTTTATTTTTAATTTATCAGTGTAAAAGTGGATGAAAGCACTAAAGAAAACGATAACGATAAACTTTAAAGCAGAATTTTGTCATGCGATTTTGGTGGCGTAACCAGAAACTTCTTATATGTTTGTTACATAATTAGTTTTATTAACTTTAACGATTATAACTTCATTGAAAACGCAATTATTTTTGTAAGTCTTTGTTTAAATCATGAAAATTGCTTTAAAAGATACATTATGATAAAAAACAAATACACAAAATTACATTTACATAAAGAATACAATCTCTTTTAAAATAAAATATAAGAATATACTAATAAAATCTATGATTTATAATAAACTTTTAAAATTTTGACAACTTAATATATATTTAAAACAGTTATTTTTGTAAACAAATAATAAATATTTTCAAAACAATTTATGCTAGAAATCTCAAAACGTAACAAGTCGTGAATTAAAACATTTCAACAGAATACTCTAGAACTTTATTTCGCTTAATCAGCGTATTTTTTGAACCAATAGAATTAGTTTGTTCGTTAATTTGGCGGGTTTTTAGTGTTCGCAAATATTCTTTTTATTCTTGCGCTCAAAGATGTTTTGAGAACATTCAAGTTTTTTATGTTTCCATGTATGTCCGTAAAACAAAAATTTTTTGTTTCGTACATAAACTTAAATGTTCTCAAAACGACTAAAAAAACCTGGCCAGTTTTACGCAACTAAATATAATTTCCGTGGTCAGTATTTTAGAGCGATCGCTCCCGCTTCCCGACCAAGCCTGCTTATATCATCCCATAATCAAGTGTGGCTATAACTTTTTTGTTTTTGATTTTTTTCGTTTAACTTCATGCAACTTTTTTTCACATGATCTTTTCAAGATCATAACGTAATTATAACCCATGGATACACATTGGGACGGACAAAAGGGTGGTTAAAATTGTTTTTTTCCATATTACTACTATTTTCAAAAAATAAATATGTTAAAAGTATTTGTGTCTAAAATTGGCTACAATTTTCATCTGTAGTTTTGGTTTTTCTATTGGATGCCTATAGGATTTCTTCCAAGGGGGGCGTAAAGGAGCAAGAACAAAAATGTTGCCTAAAATTAGAAATAATTTATAAAAATTCTATTTAATCTTTTAAAATCAATGAAAAATACTCATGTTTAAAAAAAAAAAAAACAGGTCCTCAAAAAAGCTTAGACGGGTCGTCATTTGCCCTTCCTACTCCTCTCCCGTACGTTTTTTTTTTTTTTTTTTTTTTTTTTTTTTTTGAAAGATTAAACAAATGAATTATAAGGAAAAATCAAAAAGAAAAAGTTTTTTTATAGTTTCCGAAGTTGCTTGCATTTTTTAGATAAAATTATTCACTTTATTTTTTTTTTAATAACTATTAACTTCTACATCTGTTTTCATAAAATTGATAAATACCGGGTGACCACGCAACTGCGTTACGTTCAAATTTAAGGCTCTATCCATGCTTGTAGATATCCGTGGATCTATTTGTTTACAAATTACGCAATGATATCAACACAGAAATAAAAAAAACGTAAAAATTAAAAAATTTTAACTAAAATGGATCTGCAAGAATCAAAAAGACATTCTGCAAATGTTGCAATCGGATAAGACTACATCAGATATCAGAAAGGCTTTAAACTGCTCCAGAACAGCAATTTTTCGAGTAAAATATTTTTTTTATGAAACAGGAGATATCAAACGACGTTTTAATAAACCAAAACCTGTAAAACGATCATCTCAGCTTTTAAGGTCTGTCGAAAGAGAAGTCAAGCGAAATCCATTGCGCTCCATCCGCCAGTTGGCAAGGGAAGCCAATGTTGCCAACTCCACAATGCAAAAAGTTATGAAAGATTTGAACCTTAAATCCAGAGCTGTTGTGACTAAGCATCTTATCACTAATAAACAGAAAGAAAGTAGGGAAGAGCGATGCAAAAAATTGTTAAATTGGCGAAAATCTTACCCTGGGCGTGTGACAATCTTCTCTGATGAAAAACTTTTCATTGTGGATAAAGTAGCCAATCGTCGTAACACAAGGTACCTTAGTACTGCTAAAACAGTAAAGGAAGTCCCTGAGAATATCAGGTATTCATTTTCATCAAAAAAAAACAGCTTCTGTGATGGTACTTGGCGTGATAGCAAGCGATGGAAAAAAGTGTCCACCAGTTTTTGTGAAAAAAGGTCAAAAAATTGACAGTGATGAGTATATCCACCTCCTGCAAGAGAAGGTCATTTCCTGGTTAAACAGAAACTATCCAGATGGTCAGTATGTGTTTCAGCAGGATAGGGCACCAGCTCATACTTCAAAAAAGACACAAAATATTCTCAGTGAAAACATGAGTCAGTACTGGGACAAATTAAAGTGGCCCCCATCTAGCCCAGATCTGAACCCATTAGACTTTTTTATGTGGACGGCTGTGGAGAAAGAGGCTTGCAAGATTTCCCATGGAAGTACCGAGTCACAAAAAAAATCTATATGCAAAGCATGGGCCAAAGTTCCAGAATAAGATGTCAAGAATGCATGCAGATCCTTCCAGCGGCGTATCCAACTTGTGTATGATGCCAATGGTGGCCACATTGAAAAATTTTGAACCTTAGTCATGAATAAACATTTAGTCAAAATTCTAGTCAGTTATGAATTGAAATAAATTTTTTGTGTATTTTCAAATTTTTATATTTTTTGCGTTACGCTGTTCCTCGGTCACCCGGTATGGTTGACCTCATCTGATTTGTTGTCATCATTTTGCCAAAAATACCATTACTGAGGTAAAAACGTTTTTTTTTTAACTACATATGTAACTATAAATAACGATATCTTTGGAACTAAATGTCACACCAGACTAATTTTTTTTAATTTTTTATCTATAGTTTAAGATATTAAGCTGTTATGTTTCATCCCAATATTTTTTTGATTTTCAGCCACTCATTGTCCCACAGTGGGTTGTTATTAACTTTTTTTTAAATATATACTGCTACGACTCTTTTAAACTTTTTTATTTCTAAGCACAAACATTAATAACCAAGGCAGGCGCTCAGAGAACCAAGTCAAACGTGATACTAATAAGAAAGTGCTGGGGCTGAAACTCCTATCGTTTACAACTCTTTTAATTTTATATAAGATCCAAATGATTCAATACATTTCTAAAAATTTTGATTATTAGAGTTCTTAAACTATAAAGACAATCAAACAAAATTCAGATTTAAAATTATCATCAATTACGAGAGAGATTCAGATATTCAGAAGAACCACGAATCAAGAGAGCCGAAGTTTTTACTTAAGTAATAAAATACTTTAAAACTTTTTGTTAAAGAGTGCCTTTAAATTAAATTTTGTTTTTTAATTTGTTTTTTATATTTTGTCTCGATGCAAAAGGGAGATAGACCATTATGATCTTTCATCAGATACTTTATTGATATTTATATTTTTTATTAATCTGAATTTATAAGTCAAATATTTGCGGTCTATCTTGTATAAATCAATTATTTTTAAATGTACTTGGTCAATCTAAGATTACTTTCCGTATATTGAAAAAATTTCAGCCAAAGTTAATACAAATTTTGTTTGGAAAATCTAATTTCCCTTAAACTTAAAGATGCCTATTCTCAAACAATTTTTTTCAATTTTTAGCAAAACGTATTCGTTTTTAGATTAAAAAAAAAAAAATTAATAATTTGAAGTTTATATTATACTTGGAAGTAGCCCAAACGCTGAAAAATCCTAGATACGTTTCTAAAATCGACAAAAGACGATAACGTCTTTTGTCGGTTTTAAAATATTTTTAAAAGTATATGGAAAATATCTAGTAGTTTGTTTTTGAAATAAATCAAAAATAAAAAACGATACATACAAAAACAATTTAACTGAATAAAAATGAAAATACCTTAGTTAAAGTGTTTTGATCAAACACCACAGATAATTTGAAACGTAAAAATTGTTGAAAGTTTCAATTAATATATATAATATATTACTTGCTATTCTTACTACGTTGTTTACTGTATTTTTAATATTTCTAAAACAAGTAAATGCAACACTTGTCGCCTACTTGTCATATTAAAACAAAAACAAAAGTTTAAAAAAACACGTCTTGATTTAATTGCTACAAATTATTAAATGTTTTGGAAATTTGTAGTTCATAAAAACAAAATTTCAACAATGTATTGAAATTTAATGATAGAAATTTCAAACCAATTAAAATCATAATACTTGCGACATAATGTTTGTCTGTTATAATATTACTTCATCACATATATAAAACGTAATATAAAACGTAAAATAACTTTAGCAATTACGTATTACAGGAAGCATTAAGTCTTGCTTAAATAACGTAATAAATTTAAATGTAACAGATTATTTTTTATAAATGGTTTTGATTGATTATTAACAACGTTTAATAAAGATAAATATTACCTAATACTACTTTTATGTTAACAAGTTTTATAAAAGTGTTGTGCATATAGATATAACCATATTCGTTACTTAGTAAACTTGTTTGTTTTAGTTCTGAAGAAGAGGATTATTTAAAAAACAATTATTCTACGTTGTTCTTAAAGAACGTAATATATATATACAGGGGCGGATCCAGCATTTTTTGGTGTTTGAGATAGCTAACTTCCAGACATGGAGCAAACTCCAAACATTTATATGTTTGTACTTATATCAAATAAGGATGGTTTGCAAAAATTTGCGATGATTGGAGCCTGGGAACAAAAAATCCCCAAAATTTGAGACGTACCTGCCCCAAACGTGAGAGCAACAAGTTAATAAAATATTTTTTGTACTATTCTCAACAAGACTTATATTTATCAACAAATTTTAAATTCCATTGTAAAATATGTTAGCGCTCAAAAATTATGACCATATAAAAATTGTAAACCCCTCGAATTGAGAGGGATTCAAACTTTACATGGTCATAATTTTTGAACACTGAAATATTTTACAATGAAATTTAAAATTTATGGATAAATGTAAGTCTTGTTGAGAATAGTACAAAAAATATTTTATCAACTTGTTGCTCTCACGTTTGGGGCAGGTACGTCTCAAATTTTGGGGCTTTTTTGTTCCCAGGCTCCAATCATCGCAATTTTTTGCAAACCATCCTTATTTGATATAAGTATAAACATATAAATGTTTGGAGTTTGCTCCATGTCTGGAAGTTAGCTATCTC